GTTTCGTTTTCTGTTCTTATTCGTTTCTTATTCGTTTCGTTCGTTGGAGCAAAGTGACATTAGAGAAGGAGAAAAATATTTTTCCCCCTTCAAATGTCACTTTGCTCCAAACGAACGAAGGAACGAAACGAATACAAAACGAATATGAAACGAATAAGAACAGAAAACGAAACGAACGTTCGAACTAACGCAACCGAATTTCGTCCGAATTCCGAATCCCGAAAAACGAAATAACACAAATCCGAATTTAAAACTAAACGAAACTAAACTAATTTTTTGGCAGTGCACATGTCTATTGGGCAGTAGTTATTCCAGTTAGTGTGATCTGTCTTTGGTTTAGGAAGCACTGCAACTGCTGCCACCTGCATATCCAGGCCCAGTTGTTCTCCTTGCAAAATACTGTTTAACATTTCTACATTTCCTTTATCTATTTCTTGAAGGACCTCATTCAACTGCTTCATTCTCTTCTGAAATCTCCGCGAAGATTTTTACTGGGTCACTAGAATACAGTTGACCTGCAATATTCCAACGTATTGGTTTAACCAAAGGGTCTCTTTTACGGAGCCAATTTGCCAGCATCATATCCTGCCTATTCTGTGCTCATAATAGCTCCCTTTCTGCTTCCTGTGTTTAAATTATATCTAACTGGGTCTTAACTTCCTCCAACTTCCTTTTTATTCTAGCAGTCGTTTTTTCCTTAAACTGTTCCGTTAACCTACTATAGTTTTCCTCCATCTCTTTTTTTCTGAAATATTCCTCTCTTTTTCTTCTGGATATCTGTATTATTGCTGCCTTATGGGCTTCCCACAAAGTGGTCACTGACGACACTGCGGCTTTGTTATAGGGATGCAAAGATATCAAGGTCTCGTACTTGGTACAAGTACTGATACCTTTCCAGCTCCAAGACTAGACTAGAGAAAAACGAAAAAAAAAGTTAGGAGGCAGCTGTCATTTTTAATTCTTCACATTTTCACATCCACACCTCTCATAGCAGCTTTATGACCACTATTTGATTATTTTAGTTCATTTTCCAAGAGCGCAGATTTTTGTTGTAATCACTCACAGATACTAACTACTGATACATTTTTGTTTAGTGTCATGTGACAGTTTTTCTAAAACACTACAAATTAATGATTTCAGGACAGTGGTGGAGTGCCAGAGTCCAGTCGCAGCTGCAACTTCTGCAACCCGGGTAGTTCTTGTGAAAATGCCAAGTTTCGGCACTGGTATCTGTCTAGCAAGGATAACCTTACTTGCTCACAGGTCTTAGGATCGCTGAGTAAGCTATTTCTCAGTGTCCAATATACTCCCCTTGCTTTATTAATCAGCGATGTTAAGGTCACGCATACTGCATCATCGTCTGACCATGAAACCAGCTTTATCTCTGCCTTCCCCATACACGTAGCTATAGTTAACTCAACAAACCCATTATCAATTCTAGAGCAACTAGTATGTGGATATGAGTAATATGTAAAATCCTTCTTGGATGGATTAACTTCTCTCCAACAGTCAGTCAATGAGTAGCGCCTTATAAGATTATAGAACTCTTGTGATGGTATATCAGCATATCCTGAAGATGATTGAGACTTTCTGTCCAGTAAAGGCTGTAAAACCATATTAGAATCACCACATGAAGTAACAGCAACGCCCCTGTCTATGTTTTCCCACAACTTGAAGAAAGTGTGTTAAGAAGGAAACCTGATTAGTATTTGGGGCATAGTAGACGCCAAAGGTTACCAGTTTATCTCCAAAGTGCCGCCCATAAGATTAAACAACACCCTTCCGGATCAGGTATTTCTCGCTCAAGCGTGAAGAGTGCTGATTTACTAAATCCAACCAAGACTCCACTTTTCTTTACTGATGCATTAGCCATATACAGTATATCTGAGGATAGTACTTTGAAAAATATTTTGGATATGATTCTTTAGTAAAGTGAGTTTCTGGTAGACAAAGTATATCCGCTTGTATTGATTTAAAGAATTGGAATGCTTTCACCCTCTTATTTGGATTATTAAATCCCTCTACTTTCAATGTAAGTAAATTCAATGCCATACGTTAATCATTTTTCAATTCTTCCACACACATTTGCTGGTTCCATGCCACCTTCTGATATTGCAAGGTAAAACAACAAAGAGGATATATGTAGGGTAGAGAAGAAAAAAAAAAATGATCAAACATAACATCACACACCCTAACCCCCTATGGCTTGCGTGCTTCCCCGCCGCCTATTTCCTTATCCCAACTAATGCTAACATTTTCTCTGGGAATAAAGAACAGCAGTGGCTGTACGTGTTTTAAACTTGAATAGAAACTGAAGTTGGAAAAAAATAACATATAGGTTGTATATGTATAACGTATAGGTTGTATATAGGTAAAGATGGCACGTGCTCCTTGTGGATTCTCTTTGGGAATGTGTCAAAAATGCAGACCAACGAAGGAAAATAAGTAGTTTTGCACTTTCACTATATTTTTTCTTATTTAAAAAGAACATGCGTCGCAAGAAAACTACCAAGGCTTCCATTACATCTTCATCTGCATACTTTCCAGGTTAGTGACGTCAACCTCCCACATGATTTGTATGGATATTTCTCCTGTCTAGAACCAATAAGCAATGTGGTGCTCGTAGTGATGAACACGGATGGTGCTCGGATTTCTTCAAGTACAGAAAAATGGGAAATCACCAGCACTCAAAATATATTTTTCAGATCTTATTGATAATTACAATGTGACAAGTGTCAGAAGAGCAAGGCTCTTCTGACACTTGTGACATTAATAAATGATCAACAAGATCTGAAAACGATATTGAGTGCCGGTGATTTCCCATTTTTCTGAACCTCCCAAATTATTCTTACCTCCCCCCATGGAAGCCAGCTTTCTCTTTCTAGTTCCCCCATCCCCTCCAATCACTGCACCATTATGTAATTAGACCTGGCAAATATCTCATGCATGTGCAGATAGAGATTTGGCACTGGGTCTAATTACATACTGTTCTTTGAATGGAGGGTGTAGGTCCACTTATAAGTATTGAAGCTATTGAATGGACATTTTAGACAAGCAACTGGCATTTTCAGTAAGAGATCATCAATGGCAGTCCTGTATTTCTCTCATGACAAGTTTACTTTAGATTGCTATGTGTTAAGGCAGAACAGTGGCCAATTGGTTAGCACTGCTGGACTTTTGATTTATTTTCCACCAAGGTCACAATCTGTAGGAGGTATGAATGTTCTTTGTTCTATAAAAACATATGCAACTGAGCAGCCTCAGATGTACAGTTCAAGTAAATGTACCACATATTCATTAAAATCCATTTATTTACTTCATTTCAGAAAATAAGAAGACTTGTAAAGTCTGCAAGACAGATATAACAAAATATCTTTCAGCGGTAACATCATCCATCGTAATGCAAGTTAGCCAAACTGTATCAGTATTTTGGACTGTAGAGTATATGACAGGACCCAAAAGACAAGGAATGAAAGCAAAATGGTTGGATGCAGACATTGTAGCCTCGTGTTGGGCAGAATCTAAAGTGATTGTGTTTCCCATAAAAACCAGCTTCTGCTTTTCAGCACCATGTTAGAAAGAGAATAGTTGCAACAATTCACAGAGGACATTCTAAGATCAAAATAAAGATAAAAGTCTATACACAATACAGATATGACTGCAGAAAAAAAGCGTTTAAATTACAGCAACATGAAACAGATAAAGACTGTGGAGCTAAAATGTGAAAATAAAAAGTCAGTCTACCCAAAACTAACAATACAGTTATGTGAGGATGCTGGGTTGAATCAGCCATTGATTTCTACTTCTCTCTGTCAACTTACAAGGTATGGTGGCCTCAAATGCAGCCCCTAATGTCTCCAAAGGGACACAAATAGTCTATGACAGTCCAGCATTACTTATAATAAATATTGAGGACACACTTCACAGGAAAGTGCCAGAGACTGTTCTACAGAAGTGGTTGGAAAATAAAGTCAGGCTGTAGGGGACAGTCAGCGACTATGAATATGTTACATGAAACTGCTAGAGGGTACTGTTATTAAAGGCCTTTTTACAAGTCAATGCTCCCACTACTGACTGCTGTGGCCACAGGTTGGGTACCACAGCTCCAGAGGTCTCCAACAGTAAGATGTCCCTACAAGATGAGACTCAAAAGGGAAGAATGATCATCCTTAGAAAAAAAAACACTCTGGCGGAAGCTAGGAACTTTTGCTAAGAAGATTTTGCTATCCAAGCTCCCAATTAGATGGGTGGGCGACTGAACCACCCCCAACCATAACAAATATAAGTTTTAAATAGACTGACCCTTTAAAGAAATGAGAAGGGACAGCTGTACGCAGGGATTACTAATATGAAGTACAGAACACAGCAAAGACCAGCTAGCTGCAAGGACTTTTCAGTAAGGAATAATACTGATAGGAACCCAAAATGTGAAAACATGTCATGCCTACTATAAGTCAGAAAGCCAGGTAAAGCCAAACTGCACCCACAAATGGTATTTCAGCTTCGAATGGATGTCAGTACAATAGTTTGCTGCTTTTATCTTTTTGAGACACCTCAGAAAAGTTTTCACAGTTATGCTTCCCAGCCACAGCAAGGGAGGCTTGCTTCTTTTCCCATACTCTAGAAAATATAAAACATCTGAAGAATCTTGAAAAAAAACAAATGTACATGGCAGATGGACAAAACTGGCATTCCAGACACAGATGCCTGGTAACTAGGAAGTTGGGTATAGAGATTTGGTAGGGTGGCAGAGCTGGAAAGCGGTGTGCATAGATATTTTTTACATAGATTTAAGAAGCAAGGAAGTACTTATTCAGAGCTGAAATATCAATTTTGGGTGGGCTAACCCCTAATGAAGACACAGTTGGCTGGATAGCAATAGGCTGGGTCCTTGTCATTCACACAGGAGGCAATAAGAAACAGGTCAACATGTGAAACCTACGAGTCATACAGTAACAGAGGACCCAGTAGTGATACACTGTAACGTTCCTCCATTGTCCTCTTGTGATGGGCATCTGCTGAGCTGAGCAGGAAGAATGGAGACTCAAATCCAAGAGATATGTCTAGGACAAAAGGGGTTTATGTAACCTATTCAAGTTTGTCTGAGCTTTGTCAAAGTTCATCATTAGTCCTGCTTTGAGAAGTCTGTGTCTCAGACATATCTGCTTTTCCTGCAGGTGGCTTGTCAGGGTTCCGATTCTTTGAGTTTTCTTTGGCTTTCTTGGATTTCTTTTTCCCCCCTTTATTTGATTGTTTCTTTTTACCAGTGGAAGGAGCAGTGTCTCCCTTCCTACCACTCCATTTTTCATCCAGGCAACCTGCAAGTACAAACAATCGTAATAAAACAAAAACAAAAGGGACTTATTTATCAAAAAAAGTGTTATCTACCACCAAAAGGGTTTACTTTAACCTCCTCATCTTTAGCTTTTGGAAACCAAAAGGAAATACCCAGTGCCACTGGGTATGGAGAAGAATGTGATAGCGCTAAAGTTTCGATTGAACTCAAAAGAATCACAGAATGTTCATATCAAAAGGGAATGTATAGGAAGTTTAGATATTTCCCTTCATTTGTAATATGTTGAGGACTAAAAAGCATTTTTGTCAGGTAAACATGAACATTTTGCACATACCATTTTGTATTGTCATTTCCAACTAGAAAGTAACACATTGAGTTCCCCCTCCTCCCCATTAACTTATTCTTAGTTGCTCTGTTAAAGCAAAAGTAAACTTCAATGGTGGGGCTGACCTTTTTGAAACAACCTGCAAGTATACACAGTATACTTGCAGATAATGGCATACAGTGACTTCAATTTGTGCTGTCGGAGGACATGGCTGGCAACTGTCATTGCTGCGTCCCCTGCCTCTGCCATCTCTGCTGCCAATTCTTCCATGTCCTGTGGCTATCCTCTTGGGCACATGAGCACAGGGTTTTACATTTTCTCCAGTACCTGGTCCATTCCTGGCATCTGACAAATGGTAGGAATGAGGCGAAAGTGTAAAATGCACAGTGCATACGCCAAGTGTACACAGAAAGTAAAATTTTGAATTTTGGGGAAATTAGAAGTTTTGGGGCAAAACATATTTTGCATGTCTCTTCTGCCAAAATCCCTCCCCCCTAGCAATTTTTTTTTTAATTTGGGGGGTTTATTTTCACTTTAAAAAAGAAAAACATGTTTGTTACCAGAGCTCAATAGCTCAAGCTTCAATTTGCATAGGGCTACATGTTTATTAACAAAGAGTCTGAAGAAGGCAGCTTCTGCTGTGCTCTCTCTTAAGCCCAACTCCAGCCATTCTTTATGTTTTGGATAGACTTAAAGATAGTTTAAAACATACACTTTTTTCAAATTATTATTGCGGTCCTGTGACAGCAGGACATGAAATAAAGGGGAGTGTGTCAGGGAGAAACAGGCAGTAATAATAGCCTGACAAGAGGTTCCAACCCTTGCCCAGCAGAAAAATGTATTTTGCTGCAGTCTGTGTCCACACTAGAAAGATTTATTTCCATCACCTGCTGTCCCGAACAAAGTAGTTGAGCTGGCTATACTCATAATAGATATTACAATCCCCTTTACATTTGCAAACAACCAAAGCAAAGCAAGGACCTATCTGGTTGGATAAAATGACAAACTTTGTTTAGATGCTCACATCACCTGTACACCGTGGTCTGTAAATCTAACAAAGATCATATATGTGTGTGGCCAACTTACATTTTCTTTAGTTAGATTGGTGTCCAGTCTCTCATTTCCTCCTATTGTAAAATGTCTACTTGCATACCTCAAAAGCTCAAGCTGAAGATTACAAACACAGACTTATGTTCTGCCCGCACTGGAAGAACGACAGCTTGGAATATGACTAGTTGCTAAGGGCAACACAGGCATGTGTTGTCCCTTTGTATTTATTGAAAGCCCTATAAGATAAAGGTTGGCAGAAAAGACATTAGATGCACTTACTCTGGTCTTGTCCCTTTAAGACATGTTTAGCACACAGGAAGTCTGTAAGATCTGCTTGCTGGTGGTTTCGATACCAGTCTTCAATGACATCTTCAAACTCTTCCATCAGGACATCACACTGATTATCATAAGAAAAAAAAAAAGAAGAAGGATTTAGAAACAATAACAGCCTGGGGATAGAAAAAGTACTTGAGGTTCAGTACAGAATGCAGATTTTACCTCTGTGTTAAATAAACTATAATAATGATTCTTTTTCACTAAACAATTACACAGCACTGATTAAAAAAAACACACAACAACACAGAATGTTGGTATGAATTTTATAAACAAAAGCGTGTAACAGTCAAATTATTCTCTGTTTATTGGCATTTGGTCTATGTGGCAAAAAATAGGATTTTTGTACTTCACATTAAATTATTTTCTTGGAATCCCTTGAGGGACACAGGTCCCACCCCTCTGATGCATGATAGTTGGAGGCGGGGATATAATGTTTGCCCATGTCCCAACCTGCTGAAGGTGGCAGCATAACTCATTGATCTAAGATTATCAACCATTCCTTTGTCACTCAATCGACTTCAAGAAAAAGATTTTAAGTACAAAAATCTTTTTTTCTTTATTGTTCACTAATAGTAGATAACTTTAGACCAATGGAATGTTCAAAATCAGACCAAGTGACGGGCAAGCAATAGCCACGAAGAGATCCTGCAACGCAGAATCACACTCCCTATAGTAGAGAAGAAACCAATGCTGAAAGAAAAACTGGATGGCGAAGAGCTAACATCACAAGGGGAGAAACTCTACCTAAGAACAATGGGCCTCAATAGAGGAAAAACTGTTCACTCATGTAGAAGTACAACAGTTATAACAAACAACAGCAGAAGAACAGGACCAAACAGCAATGTGGTCAACACAATAAAATGCATTTGGCTATCCATAGAAAAGCGTAAGATGTTTAAAGAAGAACTCTAGGTTGTAGAAGAATTAACTTTTGCAGTGGGGCTACCCCTGCCCTACAATTGGTAATGGCTTGTTTTTCTCTAGGGGCAATAATAAAGAAAAAATACTCACCCAATCCTTGGTCCTGCAGCATTAACAGATGGAGAGCTTGCTTCTTGAGCTGCTTGAGATAAGGAAGGAAAACATCCAGGAGGAAAACATACTGCCTCAAAATTCCTCAAGATAAAAAGAGTGTGGAGGTAAATTAAGCAGTAAGTAGGACAAGAACAAAATCAGTCCAAAACACCAAGTGCTAAAGGGATGTGGTAATACACAGAAAACTTGCCTTTGAAGAACAGACGTTTTTACTTCAAAATAGAACAAAAGGACATGCAAGATTACTTTTTTTGTTTGCGGGAACCCAGCAGAGTAACAATATGACATGTCTAAAGAGATAAGGGAGTTCATGATATGTATAGTTTTAGGAAGGAAGAAGGTCACCATCAAGAAGAGCTCTCACAGTCTAGGGAGAAACAAGTAGATGAAGGAAGTTGAAAGGAAAGTCTAGACACTAAGAAACAGTGTACACATGAAGAAGGACATATGAAAAAGAAGACCAACTGAGGAAGAAGATCAAGCGAACTAACAAGACAGTTTGTAACCTTCACAAAGGAGAAGATGAAGCTGGATGCAATGCAGGGAAGGTCAGATTAGAGAATGACCAATGAGGATTTTCCAATGTAAAGAAATGCCCGATATGAAAAATCGTACTTGAGGAAACATCCAAATAGAAGACTCCATTAAGAGAAACATGGGTAACCTGACCAAGTCCAGCAAAAGGAAACAAGACTGTAAGGTCAAAGACCCGACTTCCAAAGGGGAAATGGTCTCAGTAACAGATTGGTAAGGGATAACTGGGGAGATATCAGATATAAGTTGGAAATCTAAGTCTAGAGATCAGTCTGCTTATGAGGATCACAGAAACAGGATCCATCAGTTGCATGAAGTACAAAATTCTAGGAACTGACTGATCTCAGAAAGAGCTCCTTAAACTTACCTACAGGTCCACCATTTAATAAGAGGGATTAAGAGGAGCATCACAGTTAGAAATAGTTTAAGGGCACAATATATTCAGATCTTTATTTTGGAAAAGAGGTTTAGGAATGGACATATGAAGACCATGTAGGTACAAACGTCTGTGAGGAGAAGATGGGGTGGAGGAGAGATAAACACAGTGATTGCTGTAATTATCCTGGACTTCACAGGCTCCTTTGTAAGAAGGAGTGGAAGTAAAAGCAGAAAGGTATTCCGCAACACAGGATCTTACCATCAAAGGAGACAGAGGTCCCAGGGAGTGGGGGTCCCATAACTATTAGGGACAAGAGGGTATAAAACCCAAATGAGTGGAAAAAGGCAACCGAGCAGGATGACAGGTTGTAGAGTTTAAAGAGGAAACAACAGCGGAGTATCAGAGGAACTAAACTGCAAGAAGGGGTTGTGCTTGGGGCTCAATGGAGACAGCAAATCAATACCCACCAAGTACAGTGAGTCATAAAGATCCAAATAGAAGGCTGGTGGCTCTGAGATTTGCAGTACAAGTGGGAAGAAGACTGAGAACACTTTCGAGGTAGAACAGCAATAGCTGATGAAGATTGTGATTCTTCTGCCTCATCCACAGATCTCCTGAGATGAAGCAGGGGAACGGAACTAGAATCAGGCTTGTGCATGTCACTGTTAAATGTATGACCATAGATATGCCTTCCCTCAAGTAAATCATTCTTTAAAAAAAAAATCTATGTCCCTGGCCCACAGCCAAAGTGCCCAATGCATATGGACAGCCATTACTGCCATGTGGGATACCAATTTAGATTCCGCTAAGAGGCCATCACCACTGAAGAAGAAGGGTCCAGACATCTGCTCAACTCCCTGCCCTCAGGTTGCAAGGTTCAAGGGTCTTGCTTTGAGTTACAGGAGTCCATTTTAAAGGATGTGATCTATTGAGACACGTACTGTATATCTGTAAGAAATAAGTCAAGGCAACTGGACTTGCTGTATTTTTCTTGAAGACGTTCCACTGGACATCCGACCAGCTTTCTCAATTCAGAATGACTTGTACAAAAAACTATCTGGGAATAAATATGGTGAATGTTGGTAAATATATGGATTGGGTTGCTAAATATGTGGATTGGAGCAACATTCACCATATTTATTCCCAGATAATTTTTTGTACAAGTCATCCTGGGAGGTGCAGGAGGAGAGCTCCGCTTCCTGTAAGATGGCAGCTGTCACCGCTCGTACCACTCCGCATCCTGACATATGTCACCACTGCTCGGCTTCCTGAAAGCTTCTCTCCTCCCCGTTGGGCGCCAGCCACTGCATCAGAAGGCACACAAACCTAAGCTAGGGATACAGATTGTCGGCCGCATTTTTGGCCATCATGACACTTTTGGCAATTTGTCAAAAGTGGCATTTTCGGCCAAAATTTCAGTGCATCCCTAATTCACATATTTATGTTTAATACTAAATGAATACAAATATCTTGTGTTGCCCAAGATAGTAAAGCTCAAGTCCAGGCAAGCAGCTAAATAAACAAATAAAATTCATACATGGGAGCCGTTTAGTCTGCCAAAGGATTTGTATTGTACCTCTATGTAAACTTCTGCCCCTGATATTTGTTCATGAAAACTGGGCACATGGATAGAAATGGATAAAAGCAACTGTTTATATGACTGGCCCGTCTCATGTGACATATCAGACTAGATTTTTTTTGTATAAAACTCACTAAGGCTTGCAACACCAACCAACGTAATAATGGCTATGCAAAATACAGTATATGAATATAGAGCAACATTTTCAAGCAACTCAAGACAACTGAACCGTATATTGACCAAGTGTCTAGTGCTCTAGTCTTGTAGTGAGAAACTATATGCATGGAATTTGTATGTAGGGGGAAAACCAGAGCCAGACAAACACAGAAACCCCCCCCCCCCCAAAACAACAAAAACAA